GCTGCTTCTCCCTGTGGGCGATGGGCATCTTGGGGGCCTTGCTTTTCTCAGCCTCCTCCCCGGCACCGTGCACAGCGCCAGGCGCTCGGCGGGAGCTCACTCCACCCTTGCTGAGAGAAGACAGGTGTTCATTGGACACAGGACTCCTCCACAAAGCCTTCCCTTGCTGGGAAGATGACAGTGCGGGTTGCCATGGGAACCAGAGGCATCACAGCTGCTCTGCTCTGGAGCGGTCCTCTTCTGTCCCCCATAAAAATCCCTCCCTGCCTTGTCAGACACGCAGGAACCCCACACCCTGCAGGAAAGCCAGCAACGAGCGAGGCACAGGTGTGAGGAAGGGCTGCTGCCCACCTTTGCCGGACAGCGGAGCAAGGACGCTGTGTCGGCCGTCGGGTGGTCTAGGTCCGTGGTCGGCAAACTGCGGCTCGCGAGCCACATGCGGCTCTTTGGCCCCTTGAGTGTGGCTCTTCCTAAGATAACAATGTACCTACCTATACAGTTTAAGTTTAAAAAATTTGGCTCTCAAAAGAAATTTCAATCGTTGTACTGTTGATATTTGGCTCTGTTGACTAATGAGTTTACCGACCACTGGTCTAGGTGAACCCTGATGTCGATCCTCCAGAAACCTAGCAACGACCTAGACACCTGTCATCCGTCTGATGGTCACACTGCTCCACCTCTGCTCCCCCACAGCGATGCACCTTCTAACAGCAGCCCCCACCTACTGTCACCGTCACTGCTCCCACCGCCAGCCCCTGCCTCCCCCACACCTGCTCTGGTCAACCATAGCATCCCCGTCATGAAAATCAAGACATTCCTCCGGCCTCGGGTGACTAAACTCCAGCAATGTCAGGCACGGCTGCCCACCCCTTCTTCTGGACCCCCTTCTCTCGCCTTCCTGACTTCCCTGCCCTCCCGGGTCCCCGACTTCTAAATGTGGGAATTCCTTAGGGCCCCATCCTGGTTCCCTCTCCTCTCTGTCCTCTCTCGGAGGTTCCTCCCTCAATCCCATCTGCAGCCCAGAACTCTCTGAGAACAGACCCACACGACTGCCCACTGGCACCTCCATTCGGGGTCTCCCAGGCATCGCCACCTAAAGCCCGACAAGAGTGGCTCCCCCCGCGCTCCCCCCCGCTGCTCAGCCTGAAACTCAGGGTCAGCCATGCCGGCTCGCAAACCCGCTCCCAGCCCATCGGCAGGTCCTGCTGACTGTCCCTCGAACGCCTCGATTCCACCGACACATATGAGCCCGTAGATGGACGTCAGACAGGCCTACA